CCCCCCCCCATCCTCCTCCTCCCCAACAACTCTGTCCACATAATGTCCGATCACAGAGAGCAGTGCAGTGCTACCTGGGAGGCCAGCATCTGGTCTGTTTCTCCATCTGCACCATCCCCAGCTTGAGTCAACTGCAACAGAGTAAAAACACGGAGTGATAATGTATGTATGTATGTATGCAGTTTGTGTTATAAATCATGAAATTGTATCTGAAAAGCAAAAACACACACTCAGACACAGTACCTTCTGCTTCGACTGTGCTTTCATTTTGGCTTTTTTCTCCTGTAGAGCTTCTTCATATTCAGGCCTCATCTCCTCCTGCAGCACACACATGCACATGTTAAAACACATAGGACAGCATCACAAAGTAAGGAATAATCACATCTGCCAAGAAGACAACAATCAGTCAGTCACCGGTTACAATTCACACAACACTGTTATATTCTCTGACATTTTTGATGGCCGTTAAGTATGTAAGTAAGTTATTAAATATAATTTTGAGGTTCTTGTACTTTACTTGAGTATTTCCATTTTATGCTACTTTATACTTCTTGGTTACTAGTTACTTTGAAGACCAAGGTTTTACATCTAAAATATATACTCAGTTTATAAAATATGATGCGTTATAGACTATACTATAGACTATACATTAATTGTTCTAGATTAAAATGCTCAACAGTAAAACAAGTTTAATTTTGACCAATTAAAACGTAAAATGCTCCTCACACAGTAACAGCACTGACAGGGCTCATTCTGCTGCCTAATGAGTACTTTTACTTTTGATACTTTAAATATATTTTACTGCTAATACTTTTGTACTACTTGTATTGGAGTGAATTTAACCTGAGGTACTGCTACTTTTAGTTAAGATCTGAATACTTTTTCCACCACTGTTTGCAGTTTTAGGTCCTCCCTTAGGTCCTTAGGTGTTTATAGCCTGCAGCGGGACAGGTTTTAGCCTCACAACATAATGCTTGGAAGTATAGTATATCTGTATGTTTCTGTGTTGTACTGGCTTATGACAACAAATCTCCCACTGGAACAATAACAATGGATAAACAATAAATTATCCATGAATATGGATAATTTAAAAGAGAGATGGCTCATTTTTATTTTATTGTCTTTCCAAACAAATAAAAAGTTGTGGTTTACTCTTTCCTCATTAGTTATTCACCACAGTTAAGAATAAACAGGGTTTTCTCAGGGAAAGCTCAGAATATGGTTCTCAAATTGAAGAGAAAAAGCAAACAAGCTGCTGATTAGCCCCACAAACCAATTAACAGTATAGAAATAATAAAACTGTGAAACTGTCTAAGTTGTACATGTGTGCTTGAAACTTGGACTCACCTGGACTCTCTCCTTCAGGCACCAGAGACAGAAATAAACAAACGAGAGACACAGATAGAGAGAGAGACAGAGTTGTGTTAGGCTGCAGGTGTTCATGCTGCAACAACCCTGCTGCATCATCTTATACAGCAAGTGCACTGCTTTAAGAACAGGCTAATCCCATTACAGCCCTCTACAGGGTAAAGAGTTGTGGTAATGCATGTATACATGAGTGGCATATGTGTTCGGTATGTGTGTGTGCGTTTGAGAGGACACTGTTTTGAGACTAATGATAATCTGCAAAGCAAAACCACAACTGATGGCTGACCCGGGCCATGAGGTTAACACTCTTACTCTGAGTGACTTGGCATTTTAACCAACAGGAGTTACAAAAATAGACACATACAGTAGTCACGAATCTGTTTAAGTACCTCCTCATCCTCCAAGCTCGTCAGGTCCCAGGTATGTTTCAGACACATCTGTCGCCTTTTCCAGTGCTCAAGGAAACAGGCAGCTATAGGAGGATATACAAGAGGAATACTGTGTGTTAAATATCATTTGCATAAAAAAAACACACAGAAAGTTTTAGTTAGTTAGTAATGTTTTAGTAAAAATTAAGCACTCTGGAGTTTACTATATGTGGAGCAACAGATTTATAAAGCATCCCTAGCCTGAATTAATGCGGCAAAATTAATATTTATTCACTTCCAATCATGCATACTCTCATGCACCCGACTCCTCCACCAAAGCGTCTTTACTGAAGAATACTAAAAAAAAACTTAAAAACTTGTTTCTGTAAATTCATTGTGCTTCTCAGATTGATCAGCAAACAGTTCTCCACTTCAATGACTTGCATATAAAATTGCTGTGCGGATTTTATGCATGATTTTTACCAATGCAGTGATTTCAGACATTTTTCCTTCTGCTGCCTTCCTCACATAAAAGCAAGTTGCCTGTCTTAGTGTCTATGATTCAGTTTATTTAAATGTAGATGCTGTAACATGATGAGTAAAGTATATTTGAATGTATAGTTACCCCACAGAGACATGAAAATAGCAAAGAGGACAGTGGCTCCATTGTCAAACAGGTATGATGTTCGGGCCAGTGAGCACACCGTACTCAGACGCCAGTAGTCACACACTCCATCACACAGTGGACACATGGTGATGTTCAAATTGTCATCACATGTCTCCTGGCTGAAATATACATGTGCAAAATAATATAAACACACGTACGGTGATGATATAATGTACTTTTCATGCATATTTAAGTTTGTATCTGCTTACCTTGGCACATTGGCATCCACAGTGAGTATGCCGTACAGGAAGACAATGATGCCCAGCACAGAGGGGGGGATGAGGAGCTGAGTATAAACACCCAGCCAGGCAAAATACAACCCAATCTGCTCTCCAAAGTACTTCCTGTTAAAATAAAGAAAATGTATCAACCACCAGCCACAGGGCCTGAGGACAGCAATGTCAGACAGTCAGTTGACGCATTGGTCCATCTGTGGTCCAGAGTAGTAAACAGTATCATCCCAGCTGCAGGCCATATTGTCCCTGTGAAGTCTAAAGCCACCATCCAGTCAAAAAAAGACAGTCTCTTTTTGTCTCTATGTCTCTATGAACAGCAAAAGCATTCGTATATTTGTTCAATCCAACACTTTGGTATTATCTATAATGTACATTGCAGTCTCAAGCGATAGCTAGAGATAGACATTTATTTTGTTTGCACTAGCTACTGAGTACCTGATCAAGTCCACAGGCTGGTATTTATGCATGACTCCATAGTTAGCCCATTCTTCATGGAGGAGCTGAAGGACATCCGAGCACATGCCACAAGAGTAAAAAGTTAGTTAATAATGTGTAATAATAATTAAATATACACAGGATACAAAGTTTAAAATAAAAGCATGTGGTGTCAACCTGATGATTTCATATCATACAACATAGCTTTGGATTGTTCATATACTGTAGTAACTAATGGAGCACCCCGACTAATGTCTGCAGATTACACTTCTCGAGAGGCAGACTGCATTAAGACTCAAACTACAGGGTCACATTCAGATTTGTTTAGTTTCTGGTTGTCAAAAAATCAAACATGTAGGGCTTATTTGTGTCAGGTCTGAGACTCAACTGAGATGCGAGAGATTTGAATCCTGAACCACCACAAGCTCATCATTAGCAGTCAAATCAGGCTTTTAAAAATGACATCTGTTCCTGCCTTAGAGGACCAGTGTGTGGGATTGCAACTTCAATCTGCAACTAACTGAACACTGCTTGTGTCTGTATTTGACAACCTGGGAAAGAGAACAGGCTGTAAACTGTGTAGGAGAAACTATGGTGGCCGGGAAAC